CTCAGAAAAGCCGCAGTAACATGGGCTTCAAAGATCCTTATGTTTTTCTTCTAGATAATTTTCATATTGGTGCAATATATAAAGCTTTTCTATATAAGAGATGTAAATAACCGAGGATTGTCTTAATAGGGTGCCTTTAGAAAAATAAAGCATCTTTGTCTGTGCTTATCCTGAGGATAAATTCTTCTTCAGTAGAACTGGTTGAGAAGACTATAACATTATCCTGGGGTTTATGTGTCACATTCAGCCATAAAAGGGTTTGTTTGGTTTGGCTTAGTGCAGGGTTCAACAATGTTTTCAGGTAGTGAGTACCATCAGAGTTTCATTCAATTTCATTTTAAATTAGATAATGAAAATAGCGAAAATATCAACAAATGTGAAAATAGAGCTCTTCCAATATTTAACTATCTCATGAGATTTTGACCATGTTTAATCTTTCTAAATATTATTCTGTTTCATGGATCAGGGGGTGTTATCTAGCATGTCATGAGCTCTGTGTTGCCAACCCTAACAGTACGGTATGTGAAATTTGTTCAACGAACCACTGTTAAAATAAAACATGACTTGGTACTATGTGAGAACCCACCTATTTTAATTAGTGTAATGGGGCAGTAAACTCCCATTAGTCCACTAAATCCTGTTTCCTTATCAGTCTCAACAGCATCACTGTAGTTCTCTCCACCCCAGAGATCTTCAAGCTTCAAGCTACCTTCCTTATCACCTTTCCATAACTACGTGGCTTAATACATAATTCAACACGACTCTCCTTCTACCCTCACAGGGTGGGTCACCAACTCCATTTGACCGAAACTTTGGAACAAAAATGGGTGCCAAAGCAGTGGCGTGGATGTCTGGCAAGATCAAAGAGTGTTCCAGACATGGTATGTAGGAGTTTTCTTTTGGATTGCCTCTTGGACTGGGGGGCAACCACACCTCTGTTGGGAATAAACTGGGTAGAAGAGAAATTAGTTACAGTAGGCAAAAGAATCTCTACACCAGAGGTTTGATACTGTCTATGATGGTCTTGAATCTTGGGGCTACAGTTCAAAGTCAGTCTGAGAATGGAAACCATTAAACTGATCTTGGATTGTTCCTTAAGATCTTTTCATTATATTCAAAGCCTGATACTTAATTCCAGATTTTTTTTAACGGAAGACTTTTCTGCTAAACTATGATTTATTACTTTGTACCTAGTGTTTCAACATAAATGTTTTCCAAGGGAGCTTTCAATAGAAGAATAAAAACTCAACGTTTTCATAAAAACTTGAAACATTTTATAGTGCTTTTTTTGCAGGTCGTATCTTTGCCAACACTGCTGATTCGGCTTGTCTGCTGGGTATGCGCAGACGGGCCCTGGTATTCCAGCCCCTCACGGAACTCAAAGAAGAAACAGATTTTGAGTAAGTCTGTCTTATCTTCTCTGTAGGAATAATCAGAACAAAGAAAGTGTACCATGAAAGGTTAAGTTAATCCACAATGTTAGTTGGGAGCCAAACAATCTTTTAAAAATAGTTTCTATCCCTTATTGTTAGAACAAAATACTTTGACTAAAACATGACTTACATGCTACTGCCATAGTATTTACTGTGTCAGCTAATCATCTGGTCTTTTTGTGGTTCAAAAGTTCAAAAGTCTAAAAAATGGCAGAGGGCAGGAAGCCTAAAATTGGAGATTTTTCTGACAATGGAACAAATATTGCAGACTTAATCTGCAGTGAGGCACTGTAGTGGATAAGATGGTAGAGTAGGACTAGGAAAATCCAGGTTCTAATCCAACTTCAAACATATCTTCAGCCCAACATACTTCCAGAGCTGGTATTGTGGGGAAGATCTGCCTTGAATTCCTTGAGAAAAGTCAGGGTATAAGTCTAATAATAATCAGTTAAGCTTATAGCTGAATGACTTAAATAACTTGTTGGTAATTCATTGAACTTGACTCATTTCACATGTAACGCCAAGCCATACATTACAGTTATATACCAAAGCAGAACTTTTGGACAGGGTTCTCTCCTCCCAAATTCTGCGAGAAAGACTAAACCTTCAGAACTTAGTTTCAGTTTAGCAGATTCCTGGCTTGTTATGAATTGTGGTTTAAAATAAAATTCTAATTTGTTAAGCAAGCACAAAGAGTCCAGTGTTTTAGGAATGTTTGTGTTTTTAAAAACTACTCAAGTGTTAAATAATTTCTAGTTCACGTGTAACAAACCAGACATCTCCTGGAGTGAAGTGGAATTCTTTGTACTTTCTTTGGTCATGTGGTAGAAAGTGCTTGAGCCTCATGCTTTGCATGGGCTCATTTCTGCTTGTATATGCAAAACACGGGTATATGGTTTAACATATAGCTTGCTGCAAGCTTCCCAAGGCTCAGGTAAATCTCTCTCAAAGACACAGGAGCTGTAGCAACCAAAATACATTGCAATGGAACGGATAACCCTGCCATGGAGACCCTTACCTTATCTTTATCCTTCTTTGACAGACATCGCATCCCCAAATCGCAGTGGTGGCTGAAGCTTCGTCCCATCTTGAAGATTCTAGCCAAGTACAAGATTGAGCTTGACATCTCAGAGAAAGCCCACTTGGAGCATATCACTCGCAAGAGAGTATCTGGCGAAGGTGCTCTGTGAACAGTTAGCAAGCCAGGTGCAGCTACCCCTCCCCTTTCAATCATGGCATGTAAGGAGACCTCTAAATAAATCACAATTTATCAGCTCCTTCCCTGGTTTAGCATGCAGCTTTCCATCTAGTGTTATGTACTGTAATTGGGGGCACATGACTATCGTAAATGGCATACCATTACATCACACCATACCTAACACTTGGCAAAACCTTCTATTGTTGTTAATTCTCTTGGAAAGCTCAAGGCAACTTAAATAGGCTCCCTGCTAGTCTTTCCATCCAGATATTAAGCCTTAATAATAAGAAATATTAAGAGAGATTATTCTCTTAGGTTTATCAGTATTATATAACCATATGCTTCTAGGCCATTTTTCTCCAGAGTGGAATGGACTACTGCTGCCAGATTTTCCTAGCCAGTTTGGGAAAGACTAGCCAAGGCTGTTTGCTACACCCAGGAATGTACTTTCATAGAATTTTCTTCATCCTGTTATAATTTGAACTGGACAGAATGACTGTTATTAGGACGTTTTTCATCTGAATGGTAACAACCCCAAAATAGATTCAACTCATTCAAGTGCTCAAAATAAAAAAAACAGGAACTATTTGACTAGAGGTTGTAATATCTTTGCTCCCTATTTCATTTTCTTTAATTGTGTCACCAACCTCTGTGCTGCAAGTATATTACAAAAATAAAAAATCATAGATGCCTGCATTGAATAGACTGGATACAAATTGTTCCACTAAGCCTGTGGAATATCTAGTCATTGCTGGGTCTCTCCCATTCCCAATCACATTTTCTTTCTTTATCCAGAGTAAGTTCCACTCAGATTGACTTAAAGGGAAGACTGCACAGGCTGTATAAAATCACCCTCAGCATTTTTTACATATGACAGGGAAGCATATCCATGTAGAAGCAGCAGCTACTTTGATGCATACAGAGGTGTATGTTTTGCTCTTTGGGTACATGCTTATATAGACATTAAATTGATGAAGTCTACATAGGGCAGCTCTTGTGAATTGGTGACTAGTAAACTTGTAGTTTTAGAAACAGCCTTCAAAATACTAGCAGAATGGCACACTTGCTCTTTTTTGTACATGGAAGTAGGAATAAAATTTCTGTGGATGCTCATTAGGCTAGTGAGTAAATTGGCTAGCTTTAGAAAATTTTCACTGTTCTCTAGGCAGCAGCGACCTACCAAAGCAACTACCATAAAATTAAAGTGTAAACAGAATAATCAATATCATCATGATCTAAAAATAACAAGTGCATTTAAAAATAAAGGCTCAGTTAAAAAGTTCAAAAGATCCAATGTAGTGATGGGGAAACCTCCTTAGGAAAAGCCCTTTCTGAAATCATGACTTGTCAAGTGGAAGGATGGGCAGGAGGACCTCCAAGCCTAATTTTTTTATCATAAGAGAATAACCTCCTTGGATGGCTAGGTTGTGTTGGATGGATATTCTTCTCTGCATTTAATCCACTGTTAATTTTCCTGGTCCATTCACAGTTGCACAAACCAATCCATTTGTGATGTTTCCTGACATCCTAGTATCTATAAGAAATTTAGGAAGGGCCAGACCATTTTAGCATGGCTAAGTTCAATGTTCACAACTTCCATGGTGTTCACAGAACTACCAATATGGAAGAACACTTTGAAAACCTAGAGCAGAGCAGGAACCTGGGCTGGTTAACCCTGGAGGCAGGCTCAAGGGAGGAAACAGGACAGAAAGCCAACATCTGAACAGTGGCTGGAAACAAAGGAGAACTATCAGTATATAGGCTTTAGTGTGTAATCAAAATGAATGGAAAGGAATAGCTGTAAGAAGGGAATTTAGTGTTTGCCCTTATGACTAAATTGAAAGTCTTTGTGGACTTCTCCAGGTGGGTCATCTACTTAATTTTGTTAATACCGAATGCATGCCCACAAAGTACTTTAAGGATAAATAAATTTACAAACATAATCTAGCTGTTAGTTAGTACTCTTTCTGTTTTCCCTACCATTACTTTATGAATTCAACCCCTTTCACTAAAGCTGCTCCACCCACAATGGCCCACTCATACAATGTTTTTGCTTTGGTGAAATCCACATAATCATCACCATTAGTTCTTCTAGTTCATCTATCCCCAACCTGGTGCCCCTCCAGAACCAGAGACTTCAATTCTAAAAATTCCATAACCAGAATGACCATTACTGAGAAATCTATGTACCCACACATCTGGAGAATGTGAGCTGATCTACTTAATCTATCTTACGAATATAAAAATAAGGACTTAAGCAGGAAGAAATCAGCCAACTTTCTGCTGCAGATAGTCAAGAGGAGGAAGAACAGCCATATGAAGCATTCTTAATGAAGACATAAACAATATAAATACCATCCAGTACAATGTAAATTTAATCAACAAGCTTTTAATATCCAAGTCATCTCCTCACTAAACAAACTTTCCTCCACAACCAAGCACTTCAAAAAGAGTACTTTGAGCTTACAGCATGATTTTTTTTTGTAAGCAAATCCAGCTCTACAGAACAGAAGAGATAGCAGAGGGAAAGAGGACCGTATCATACTTAATTATTCCTTGGGGCGGGGTATGCATGAAACAGGAAAAAAATGTATTTTGAAAATTTTCCCAATCATCTTGGTTCAGCTGCAGTTCAGCAGAAATAAAATCTGCAAAGTTGTGGTTGTTGGGTTTTGGCTAAAACAAAATCTGAATCCTAGAGTGATTTCCTGGGGCAAAGGCGGCAAGGTAGCTACACTTTGCTTTCTCTCTCCCCTCCTCCTCCAAATGGCTGTGAGCCAACTCCTATATTGAACAGAACAGACCCATTTTGTTCTGTATATGGACCTAAACACTAAAAATGCATGCTTCAGCTGTGGTGACCGATTATCCAAATGCAGATGTTTTATGTACAGACTGCTTTTTCATATCCCTATCCTGCATGAAAGGTGTAGACTGTGCCATTCTATTGTCAGTTTGCCTGAGCAGTAAGAAAGGAAATACATCTGAACAGAATGATGGCTCTGTTCACATTAAGTAGATTCCAAAGTCCAGAGTCATAACATACAACACTGATTATTTCACCAGTTGATACAGTTATTCTCACATTGCCTAATTTTCAAGACAGGTGTTTGGGTTTCTAATTCTCATCTCCCCTTCTTCTAAATAGAAGCAAGGATATTATCCTAAGCAGGGGAGGAGACACTCCAGGAATCAATGTGACAGCCAGTACTACAATCTTGAGGGAATATCCAAGAAACAGGCTTATTTTCAGAAATTACAATTCCACTTCTGAAATTGTAATTGTAATTGGAAATTCCATTTCCAAGCCAAATAGCAGGTAAAACAGTGGTTGTAACTATGATGCCCGCAAACTCTGGCCAATGACTTGCTCAGTGGGGCTCTTGGCACTTAAAGCCCCTGCATTCATAAGGATGCTGCTTCATTTGTCTGGGCAAAGAGAATTATTTTTGAAAGAAACACGTCTACAATTTTACACATCTACAACTTTACAGTGATCAACATTTTAAGAAATTACAGATACAGGACTTAATAAATTAGCCTTGCCATCCCCAATTTTCCACTTTGATTAAGACAGATCAAGGCATGGAAGCAACAGAAGCCTGCCACAAAATAGAGAATTACAATCATAATTGTATGGCAAGAAAAGAAATGTATTTTAAAATACTGTGGGATTTGTGCCAGATAGGGGGACACCTTCAAACAGTTGGAAGCCTTAATTTCTTCAAAAATGAATACTTATTTGCCATTTCTTCACTTGTGCAAACTAGAACTGTACAATCATAAAGAATCTACAGGCAAGCCAGAAATTGACTATACTAGATAGTTCCATTGTTGCTAGGCTCAATATGAGCCTAGCAGCATTGTCTGGAGCTGCAAAGTAAGCGAAATATTATTCTGGAAAGTTTTAAAGCTGTGAATAAAATATGTAAACGCATACACTGTGGGCAGGAAAAATTTCCTTATCATGATGCAAGATATAAAGCCGCCATTGTCATTAGTATGCCTTCAGAACAAGCACTGCTGACTTGCTTCTTTCAGTCACTCAGGGAACAACAATCTCTACAAATGGTCTTGATGGGGTGAGAGTATGGCGAGCCAGTCAGGCTACAGGTTTCTGACAGCCTGCTCCTGAATGTTACTTTCTATGGTTCTACATACAAACTAGCACTGCAAAGAAAGACTGAGTTAGGGAACTTGTTCCTTCCTCCCCAGCCCCACCTCATCTGCCACAGATGCCTCACCCAGGCTGAGGCAACACACTCCATCGTCTCCTCCTCAGATTTCTGTCACTTTGTTCTGTGATACACAGAGCTGGTCCAGAGCAACAGCAAAAGATGACCCAGATTAACAAAGTGCAGCACTCGAGATCCTAAACCAAAATGATGCCCTGGAGCAGGGGTGGGCATGCACATCACTCCTGGTAGTGCCTCCTTAAAGAAGCAGTGTCTTTTCCTGGGCTCACAGCAGCCAAGTGATCCAAACAACTGTAAGAATTACGCATCTGAGTGAAGGAGGCACCAACTGTGCACTTAAACCAAAGCACCTGACAGGCATCTCCTTAATGCAAAAAGGTATTTTCTGGAATCACGTGGCTATTTTAAGGAGACGCAAAAAGGCCAACTGCATGCCCACACCCACTCTGAAGAACCTTTTTGGCTTCAGTTCCCAAATTGCTGCAATTCTCTGTTCTTGGTCTTCTAAGAGAACTCTTCCCTTTCCACTTGCTGAGCACCTCTGCAGCTGGATGTGAGAGATTCAAAGGAGCTAATGTAAAAGAGAACAGCCCTTAATCTCTCTACAGGAGCTGATCAGCTCACCAGATTTCTTTATTCAAATTCATTAAGCCGTTACATTCCTGAAAGGTAATCATTTACCAATAGACAAAAAATGAAATGTATGGACAGGCTGACTTAAGAGAGCAAAATGAAGAGGAAGACTGGATTACTCAAATGCTTTGATGCATGTAATGAGTTTAAATAAAGCAAACGTTGCCATTCTTCATCCACCCCAGCTTGTTTTGCAGTACCAGGAGACAACTGGCTCTGTGATTGTTTCACAGAGAACAGAAGTCAAATCCTGGATTTAGGAAGAGGTCTTCTTCAGGAGCTGGAACACAGGCCTGCTTCACTTGGCCTCCTAGCCATAAAAGGCCAGAGAAGTAATTTCCTAGCCTCCACTGAAAAAAGGTCAGAAGGTTACTACAGCAAATAGAGAAGCTAAGGGAAAGGACTGGACAAAACCACAGACGTCGCCAGCCGACTCCTGCGGCTATAGATTGGCCCATCTGTGAACCCTATTCTGTGCTGCTGCTGCTGCTACTGTAAGGATGAAATGCCAGGAGAGAAACGCCACGGTGGCCCACCAATATGCCCAGTTAACACAATCCTACAAAAAAAAGGGGAAGCCATCATTTAAGCAAGACATATTCTTTCAGAGATTCTGGCAGAGGTAGTTCCTTCACCGCCTCTGGTAGGAACTGCATACCCAAGCTGTGGCGCACAGCATAGCGCGACAGCGTCTTTAATGTGCCTGGGACAGAGCATAATGTGGTAAGCTTTTCACAAAGCTGCTGATCTCGCATGACCTCACGTGGCATAGCACCATCCTTCCGCAATTCAAAGTGTCCAACGGCTCTGTGAAGGAGATCAAAGCAGGAATCTTCCCTCTCAGTGCCAAGTCCTCTGACCAGCAGGGCAACCAACCTTGAAATTGGGGTCTGCCCCTTCATATTGACTATCCGGACCTCAGCCCCATACTCCAGGAGGATGCTGACGCTCTCCAGGTTGCCCTTCATTGCTGCCCAGCTCAGAGGGGTGTCGTCGTTGTAATCCAGAGCATTGACAAAGGCACCACTTTCCAAAAGCGTTCGGACACATTCAGCATTGTTTTTAAAGGCAGCCCAGTGCAGCGGGGTGTCCTTATTGCCATCCAGTGCATTGGGGTTTGCCCCATATTCCAAAAGGATCTCCACACAGGTCTCATCCTTCTCAGCTGCATAATGAAGGGCTGTTCGATTATAGCCATCAAGGGCATTAACCTGGAAAAACAGAAGGGGGGGGAGGTGCTTTTGGTGTAATTAAGAGAATTAGCCACAGAAAAAATGACCTATAAGCTTACAGGACGGGACAGAGGAATCCTTCACTCAGTCCAAGCCTCCATGAGAACTGAGCACTCCATCAGGCAAAGCACTTGGTAGAGTATAGCAATCCTCCTTCTCAAAATACAGACCTTCTTGTTTGACAATTTAATCTGGATCAAACCTCAACAATCTTCAAAGAAATTTCTGTGCTATCCTGTCTACATGTTTAGAAATCGGATCTTTCTGATAGGGGCAAATAATGGAGAATGGTGGTCTCTCTCTATTGCTCTACCGGGGGGCACCTGACTAGCTATTAATGCTAGGGTGGATTAATCCTTGCCTTAATCCATCGTAGGCAGTTCTTAAATTCTCTGCCCCTGTCTCCACAGGCGGTGGTGATTTGTGTGACATGATAAATCCCTTAAGAGGCTAGAAGGTATGAGATGCCTCATTATGGGATTTTTATAACATATTTTTGAAACCAACCTTGATTTTTTTGCACATTCAAATTGGTGTATGTATGTATATGTTTTCCCTTTCTATGAAGGGATTTTCTAGATCTAATAACCAATGCTGAATTAAGCTTTTTCTTGTTCTTTATTTATGAAAGAAAAATCATTATAATTCATATATAAAACTAACAACCAAACTCTGTCAACAATGCAGAATCAAGCGATAGGAAAAAAAATAATAAAATGGCTGGGATACAGTACAAACAATACAAATCTTAAGAGAATTTGAGACTCCTGGAATATCATACCTCCTCCCTAGGTACAACAGGGCAAACTATTTTTATTATTCAGAAGGATTTTTCACATTAGAACACTTTTCTCCTGGTTTTTTCTGTCTTTGAGAATATATAATGCAGTTTATAATATGATGATACGTATTACTGTAGGACTCGTTGGGTATTAGGCTGATTATAAATTCTAGTTTTGTTCAATTTAAGTTTGTTATGCAAGAAACTTTAAAGCTATTCATTTATTATTTTTAAACACTTATATAAGGGCTGCTGCCCCCAAAAGAAATGATCAAGTTGCCATGGACACATCTAGTCTCATCTGCCTTATTTCTGATGTTTTTATTTCATTTCTCTTTCCTTGCAAATGGCGATTAGTAGTGAGCAGTAAATTTTGCTATTCAGTATGAGTAGGAGAAGGAAATTTGCAATCAGACTTCTTTCTTCAGCTGTACATATTCTTTATGATATAGAAGCATTTTATTTTAATCCAAAATGAGGTCTAATGCCTAACAATTCCTTCCTCTCTGGGAAGTAACAAAGTTTTTGGCACATCCAAATGGTAACTTAGATTCTTGTTCTTATACAGAACTGTGCCTAAGATCATGTGACATTGTGTTTGGAGTCAGAAGCTTTGATTTCAATGACTTTCCTATCTTGTGAGTTCTCATTTCCACCAACCCAGATAAACTTGTTCCAGCAGAGAAGGAAAAGACATATAAAACACAAGATGCTTGATAATTATCACACAGTAACTCTGATACACTTATACAGTGGTACCTCGGGATACAAACGCCTCTACTAACGAACTTTTCGGGTTACGACC